CCCTGGGCCTCTTTTTTTTTTTTGTACCAGGGATTAAACCCAGGGGCACTTAACCATTGAGCCACATCCCCAGCACCCTCACCACACTTTTTAAAATATTTTTTTTAGTTGTAGTTGGACACAATACCTTTGTTTTATTTATTTATTTTATGTGGTGCTGAGGATTGAACCCAGGGCCTCACACAGGCTTGGCAAGCACTGTACCACTGAGCCACAACCCCATCTGTCCCCAGCCCTTTTTTGTATTTTATTTAGAGACAGGGTCTCACTGAGTTGCTTGGGGCCTAGCTAAATTGTTGAGGCTGGTTTTGAACTTGTGATCTTCCTGCTTCAGCCTCCTGAGCTGCTGGGATTACAGGTGTGGGCCGGCATCTCTTTTCTGAGGAGACATCCTTAAAGGAGGGGCCTTCTGAAGAGGGAGGATTTTGTGAGGTGAAGGGAAGGAAGGAAGGAGAAAAGTGTCTCAGGTCAAGGGCCCAACAGGAGAAAGGCATGGAGGTGACAAGAAGGGGCAGGTAGTCTGTTATTGCTAGGTGCTAGGGAGAGGGAGAGCTTCAGGCCAGAGGGAGAGGTTGGGGGGAATCCAGACTGGGAAGGTCTTCAGGGTGCTGCGATGCTTGATGCTCATAAGGCTGTGCAAGGTTTCTCTCTGGCTTTGGTTAATAAAGAAGTCTTGTGTGTCAAAAACTGTGAGATCAGCAATCATTAAGTCAATTAAAATGTTACCACATTAACATTAGAGCAACAAGGCCTGAGTTTGGTGGGGGAGGGGCATTGTAGCCACAGGGCTAGGGGAGGGGATGGATAAAATTACTTCTAAATTCTGTTTCCCCTTCCTCACCTGAAGCTTGTGACACCTTTTGGAGCCTGGCTCCATACCCACATTCATTGCAACACACAGAAAACCCTTCATCTACCCTCCCTGCAAAAAAGCAAAGAAAGAAAGGATATAGATATGAAAATCACCTCTATAGGTTATCTCCCAGAGATAACCTCTGTTAACATTTCAGGGTACAACCTTTCAGACTTTTCCCATGCATTTTTATTCACACATTACAAAAATGGGATTGCATCATGCATACGGTTTTGTTACCTATCTCTTTGATTCAACAGTATACTGTGAACATCAGCATATACATATCATCGTTTTCAACTATACCACCATATTCCATCGTGGACACGACTGTCCCCTCATTTATTAACTAATCCTCTCTTGATGGAGAGTTAGCTTTCCAATTGTTTTCCATTGTAAGCAGTGATGTGAAAAAATATTCCTATGCACATATCTCTGCATGCTTGAGGGATAAACGTCTTGAAGTGGAATTGTTAAGTCAAAGATGATACACTCTCTGAAGGCTTTCATTCGGGGAATAAAGAGCTCTTTCATCAGCAAGGTAGGAAAAAGACTTCTTCTCACTCCCATAGATAACTTTGGGTAATAGGTGTTCTTCACATTTACTAATTTGATTAGTGAAAAAAAAAATCTTACTATTTCTATTCTTCTTTCTTTGGTTATAAGTAAAGAGGAGCTTTTTGTCATTTGTCAATTGGCTATTTGTTTCTTTCCTTAATGAGTTGTTTTTTCATTAACTTAGCCCATCTTTTATTAAGATGACCATCTTTGATTTCTATACTAGAGCTCTTCATATATTAAGTATATTCTTTTTAAATAAGTTTTAAAAATATTTTGAGTTGTAGATGAACACAATACCTTGATGTTATTATTTATTTTTATGCGGTGCTGAGGATCTAAACGAGTACCTCACAAGTGCTAGACGAGCATCCTTCCACTGAGCTACAACCCCAGCCCTTACGTGTATTATTTTTAAGTTGTTATTTGTGTTCCTTTTTTTCTTTTTATGGTGGTATGGAGAATTGAACCCAGGGGTGCTCTACCTCTGAGCCATCCCTTTTTATTTTTATATTGAGACAAGGTCTTACTAACTTGCCTAGGCTGTCCTTGAACTTGTGATCCTCCTGCCTCAGACTCCTGAGCTGCTGGGACTACAGGCATGTGACACTGTACTTGGTATTATGCTTCTCCCTCTCTCTCTTTCTCTCTCTTTTTTTGGTTTTAATTAGTTTTGCTATGTCATAGACGTGGTACATTTTTTTTCAGATTTGCCTTTTAGCTTTGTTTATAGTACAGTCTGTTATACATATGTTAAAATGCTTTATATCACCATTTGTATCTGCTTTGTTTGCCTTCTGCCTCTTGGATTATGTTTTTGGTAAATACAGTGGGGCTTCTGTAAGTGAATGTCGTTGGAAGGTGGCAGGTGTGGGTGTTGACTCAAATCTCTAAATCTGTCAGTTCCCGACTCATACCCATACTGAAACGCTGGATTCATATTTCAAACTTGACATGAGCCCCTCAAAACCTTGATTTTTTTCTTTCTTTCCCTTTCCATACCTGCTTTTTCCTCAATGCTTCTAATTTGGGAAAAGACCCAAATTCACACAGTGGCTCTGGTCAAAAACATGACTTGTTCTTTTTTGCCATCTTCATATCGTGTAACTAACTTACCAGCAATCACATCTACGCTACTTCCAAGCTATGTCCGGAACCTGACCTTTTCTCACCACCTCATTCCACTGCAGGGAGGGCAGTGTGGTCATTAGCCAGGCTTCTGCAGCAGCCTGCTGGCTTGGTCTCTCCACTTTTCTCCTTTCCTCCCCGCAGTCTATTCATACAGTAGCCAAAGTGTGCTTTTAAAAACAGATCATATGTGTTAATCCCCTGTTCAGAACCCCCAGTGGGCTTCCCAACACACTCAGGATAAAATCCAAACTCCTTATAAATGGTCACCAAGCCCTCCAGCAAGGGGCCCTCCTCTCCATCCTCATCTGCTCCATTCTCTCCCCTCACCATGCCCCAGCTGCGCTGGTTTCTGACTGTTCTGCACACACAGTCTTGTTTATGATTTCGTCCTCGCTGTCCCTTTTGCCTGGAAAGCCTTTCCCCCAGAGCTCCTCACGGCTTCCTTCAAGTTTCTGCTCAAACATCAGAGAGCCCTTCCCCAACCACCTGTTCTAAAATAATCTCTCCTTTCCCGCTCCTCATTCTCTTTCCCTGCCTTAATTTATTTCAGAGCACTTATTCCTGTCTGATGTCAGTACATATATTTTTCTTTGTTATACATCCTTCTTCCCTGGAATGTAAATTCCATGAAGTTAGGGACTTTGGCACTTGGTAGGTGGGTGCTTAATAAATATTTGCTGAATTAATAGGGGTATATGTGAATGTATGTGGTGTGATGTTTGTGTATAGATGTTTCTGCTGCCCGATTAGGCATCGGTGAGAATGCGGAACTATGGGGGTAATGATGATACATTTGTGGGAGTGAGAAGGAGAACTTCTGTGAACATATGGCCAACAATGTCTGCATATGCATGTTTGTGCAGGAAACGTGTGTGCTCGTCTGTGACTGGTGTGTTTGTGTGCATGCTGTGGATGTTTGGTTATATATACCTGTGTCAGCTTCAGTGAGGGTGGGGAGCTGAGACACCTGGACAGATTCTTTCTCTAATCAAATGGACCTGCCATTGCCCCAGTCTTCTCCTTCTACCTCCCAGAAATAGGAAACACCAATGTATTTTTGGGTGGCTGCAGACATAGGATCACATTCCAAAAATGATATATTAGGATGATGTGGGGGCAGGTGGGTGCTCAGATGAGGACCACAATGTTCAGAGGGATCTGGGGCTGATGGGACCTGGGAGGCCTTGTACTGATCCAGGACACCAGGACATTTCAGCAGGAAGGATGTGTTCTTCAATGAATGGATGATTTTTTTGGAGGGGGGGTGGGCAATGGCCACACAAAAAAAATGAGTCTGACTCAATGTGGATGGGTAGTCCTTGGACTGGCTGTGTGATCTTAACATGTCACTGTTCTTTCTCTAAGCCTCAGTAGACTCATCTTGCAAATGGGGTTTATTGTTCTTGGCAGGCTTACTTCTTGGGGATTTGGTGAGGAGAAAGGAGATAATGACAATGAATATATAACAATCATATCAATTGTGTTCTTAAGTCTGTGCAGCACATTAAGGATTCCCCCACCACCTATATCAGGGATTGAGCCCAGGGCCTGAGTATGCTAGGGAAGTGCTTTACCACCGAGCCACATCCCTAACCCCACACATTAGTGTTTTAGTCCATTATCTCATTAGAGTGAATGCCTCAGTGAAAATTCAGCTCTGAACTTCGCTCCAGTGGGCCATCATGGGTGTCAGTTGAATAAATTTGTGTGTCAGTGAATCAGTGAATGTAGAAATGAGTAAGAGCAATTGAACAGAGAGATGGTTGCATAAAGTAGCAAATGGATTGGGAAATCACAAAGACTAATTTTTTGGGGGGTGAGTAGTTGGGATTAAACTCAAGGCACTTGGTCACTGAGACACATCCCCAGCCTATTTTATTTAGAGACAGGGCCTTACTGAGTTGCTTAGTATCTTGCTAAATTGCTGAGGCTGGCTTTGAATTCATGATCCTCCTGCCTCCGCCTCTTGAGCTGCTGGGATTACAGGCGTGTGCCATTGCGCCCTGCCAAGACTAACATTTTTGAGCACATACAGTACAACAGGCCCTGTTGAAAAGACTTCTCTTAATCCTCGCAGGAACCCCAGAAGATTGGTACTATTGTTAATCCCATCTTGCAGATGGGTAAACTGAGGGTCAGAGAACTTAAATGACTTCCCCAAAGTTACAATGTCCCTAAGTGGCAGGCTTGAGACTCCAGCCCAGGCAGAATGATTTTAGAGCCCAGGGTGTTGAATCCTATTCTGGTGTCCTGCTGGATGAATCACTGAAAGAGTGGGTAAATGAAGGAGTAAGTGCTGGACCCCTTGTGTGGGCAAGACAGGCCACTTTCTGATGGGAAGGCAAAAGCTCTTAGGGGTGACATGAGCATCCAGGCTGTGGACTGTGGATGGGTTCTGTCCCAAGGTAGTATCTAATGGCTCTGCCTCATGTCCTCTCTCCTCCCCTGTCTGCAGGCGGATGTCATTATGCAGCACTATGGGGTGAACGGCTACTCGCTGCATGCTATGAACTCACTCAGCGCCATGTACAACCTGCACCAGCAGGCAGCCCAGCAAGCCCAGCATGCCCCGGACTACCGGCCATCGGTGCACGCTCTTACACTGGCTGAGCGCCTGGCTGGTAAGGGCCCTGGAGACAGGACCATGGGGTTAGGCCCCCCGTGGCCTTGAGGAGGAGTCTCTGGAAGACAAAGAGAGGAGGGTTGGGAAAGCCTATTCTGGTTGGCTCAAAAGCTCCAGGTCACAAGCCGACATGGTGGTTCAGGTTGTAATCCCAGCTACTGGGGAGACTGAGGCAGAAGGATTGCAAATTTGAGGCCAACCTGAGCAACTTAGCAAGACCCTATCTCCCAAAATAAAATAAAAAGTGCTAGGGGCTGGGTTTGTAGCTCAGTGGTAGAGTGCTCGTCTAGCACGTGTGAGGCACAGGGTTTGAACTTCAGCATCACATGAAAAATAAGTAAAATAAAAGTATTGTGTTGAAAAAACACGTTGAAAAGAAAAACAGTGCTGGGGATGTAGCTAAGAGATAGAATGCTCCTGGGTTCAATCCCCAATGCCAAAACAAAACAACCCCCACCACACACAAAACAAAAACCAAGAGCCCCAGGTCACGTGGCAGAGATAATTCAAAATCTGGGTGTTATTCTCACTTTGGCAGCACTTAAACAAAAATCTGTGCCTGTATACGCAGTGCAGCCCATTTGCTCACACTGTGCTGGACCCTGGTGCTGGCTGTGCCTTGAAAATCCCATGACAAGCTTGTGCAAGAGGTAGCCATTAGCTAACTTGCAGATGAAGAAACCAAGGTAGACGGCTACTGGACTAGTCCAGAGTAGCTGAAAAGCAGCTGAAAGTAGCCGAAAGAGGGCTAGGAGGAAACTGTAGGCATAGGGAGTAATAAGTAATAATAGCTCCATGGTGTGAATGCCATGTATGTGCCAGCTACTGTGTGAAGTCCTCCTCCTTCTCTCTCTCTCTCTCTCTCTCTCTCTCTCTCTCTCAAAATGTTCCATCCCCATGAAGACAGATTATTATTTTCATTTTGTGTGTAAGGAGACTCAGACTCAGACTCATGAGTGGGGTTGGAACACGAGAGCTGTGGAAGGAGAGCTTGCAGTCAGTGCAGGGTCTTCCTGTTCACTTCTGTTCTGAGACTCAGTTTCCCCTGGGATAGTGGCAGTGCCCATCCCATAGGATGGCTGAGAGATAATTGAGATAACACATACAGGGTGTTCAGCAGAGTCTCAGCCATGCTCAGAAGTCTTTAGTATCTAATACCCAAGGGAAGTACCAGGAGGGAGCTACAGCCTACCTGCCCCCAATTCCTGGTTTAATTGATCGTTGCCTTGATTGCCTTTCAATGGGTAGAGGAAGGATTCAATGACATAGGTGAGGAGCTTGTTTTCTTGGAAGGCAATGTCACCCACCCTACCCTGTCTCAGGCCAAACTTTGTTGAATCCATGTGGGCCTAGGTCTGTGCCAGGCAGTCCTCAAGGACTTTAGGGAATTCCTATGGAGAGCAGGTGCCCATGGGCCATGAGACAGCATGATAGAGGAGTATAGGAGCGAATGGTGGGCAGTTCAGAGCTGCAGGACCTGCCAGTGCAGTCAGGGCTTTCTGCAGACCATGGGGCAGGCATCAGGCCTCTAAAAGCACAGCAAAGGTGGGTGGGGATGTTGCTCAGTGGTAGAGCACTTGCCTAGCATGCAGGAGTCCCTGAGTTTGATCCCTGGTACTGACAAAAAAATAAAAACAAACAAACAAACAATGGCATGGCAAGGAGGGAGGAGCAGCAGGAGCCAAGGCACAGAATGGGACGGGGTCTGAGAACCCTGCCCAGGTAGGGGTGCCAGCCTGGCAGGGAGGATGTGGTGGTGGCCAGCCTACTTTTTTAGACCCTGCCAGGCCTTCAGGCAGGACTCAGAAGATAAAATGGAAACCCCTTCTCTAGATCATCATGGGGCATCAGTGCTCAGTGTGGGGATGCTGGGTGCAGTCTTGCCCCTGCTATGGCTGCTTGGAGTGAATTCCCTGCTCAACCTGGTGGTAACTTCAGCTCCTGACAGTGTTCTGGGACCCAAGGGCCAGAGCTTAGGGAAAAGGAGTCAGGGAGAATGGCTCATGTCTGTTGGTAGGGGCTGCTCCTTCTAGTGGGGAGTTCTGCCTGTGGTATAGAAAGCCTGGCCTCCCCTGCGACCACCCTACCCTTTGTACTGTTGTTCACTTACCAGGGTGGGGTGACTAAACAGTCCTCACCCCTCTGTTGCCCTAAGGTGACCAGCATGAGTTTAGGGCTTAGTCTAGGAAAGGGCTGATTTGTAAGGGATCAGGCTCCCTTTAAATGGAAGTAACATCCCCAAATCTGGGGCTTCCTGGACACTTGGTTGTCTCATTCCCACTTAGGATGTTGTGAATGACTCCCCAGGGGAGAAACTCTGCAGCCCTGTGCAGAGGTAGAGACAACTCAGGCTCCCTTCAGCATAGACAGGGCAGGATCCACCTTGGTAGGATGGGAGACAGTAAGTAGGGAGAGGCTCTAGTTAAGCAGAAGGCTGGAGGCTGGACACCACCAGCCCCAGGCAGACACTATCCTGGGTAGTTTTTGTGAACCAGACATGTGAGCAGGACCATAGAATATGATGTTGGAGCACAGTCTCTTAGTCTTCCTGTCCCTGAGGAGGCAGCCAGAGGGGTGAAGCCTGGGTGTAACAGGCCTTTATCGAACTCTCAGGGCCCTGCCAGATCAGGCTGTCTGTTCAGGAAAGTAAGAGCAGGAACCTCTGGTCCTGCCGTCAGAGACAAATGGGTCCCCTGGAGGATGAGATTTGATGCAGAGGATAGAGAATGGAGTTCTTGCCCAGTGAGACTCCTTAACTAGACCTTGAGGTGAGTACCAGCTCATGGCCTGGCTTCTCATGCTCTGATGCCACAGAAGCCTCAGTATCCAGAATTTAAGGACCATAGGGTAGTAGAACCATTGTGGTGTGGATTCTTAGATTATTAGCATTATGTAATTTCAAAATATTATAGTAGTCTGAGACTTTAAAAATCTTAGGACAATACATATCTACCCATCCCCAATACCAGCCAGATAAGAAAGACCCTGCCCAATCACATGCCTAACACCATTCTTGGAGCTGAGTTGATCTCTGTGGTCCTCATAATAGATAATGGGATGGAGAGATTTTGAAAATTTAGCCAGTGGAGAGGGGATGGGTGATTTCCAAGGGCAAAGGGCCAGCATCCAGCTCTGACAGATGCCTGTGTCACTGCAGCTGGAGTGGGTCAGAGAAGGCTAAGATTCAAAACCTATTTCCCATAATTAAATGGGCCCCCTCTCCTTGCCCTCCAACGGCTGTACATTTCAAGACATCATCTTGGAGGCCCGCTATGGCTCCCAGCACCGCAAACAGCGACGCAGCCGCACAGCGTTCACGGCTCAGCAGTTGGAGGCCCTGGAAAAGACCTTCCAGAAGACTCATTACCCAGATGTGGTGATGCGTGAGAGGCTGGCCATGTGCACCAACCTGCCTGAGGCCCGGGTGCAGGTAGGGCCCAGCTCCCCAAACTAGTTCTTACAGATAAGCTCTAGCTCATCTGTCTGGCTCCTGGTTGTCCAGGAGCCAGCATTTGCTCAGTGGGTGATGAGGTGCAGCTGCTACCTCCGCTGATGGCTTCGTTGATAGGAGGGGCGATTTGGAAGGGATGGAGGGGGTGAGTTTCCTAGAGGTGGAGGCAGAGTTATTCCATCCTCCCCAGAGCACCCTGCTCCACAACAACCCCATTTCTTTTCTCCTCGCCTCTGACTGCTCCTCTGCCTGTCCCCAGGTGTGGTTCAAGAACCGCAGGGCCAAGTTTCGCAAGAAGCAGCGCAGCCTGCAGAAAGAACAGCTCCAGAAGCAGAAGGAGGCTGAGGGCTCCCAGGGGGAAGGCAAGACAGAGGCCCCAACCCCAGACACCCAGCTGGAGATGGACCAGCCCTCCAGCCTGCCGGGTGGCGATGCCCCTGCTGAGCTTCACCTGAGCCTGTCTGAGCAGTCGGCCAGTGAGTCAGCCCCTGAGGACCAGCCGGACCGTGAGGAAGACCCCAGGGCTGGGACCGAAGATCCCAAAGCTGAGAAGAGCCCTGGGGCTGAGAGCAAGGGGCTGGGCTGCAAGAGGGGCAGCCCCAAGGCAGGTGAGGCTTGGGAGATGCTGCTGTCATGCTGGGGCCCCGGCTCAGGCAGAACAGGCAGGTGCAGCCTGACAGGGGCTTGAGTATGTGACGTGTGTCAGAGTAGAGGACAGTCAACAACTAGCACTCAGGGGCATGACCATAGCAGGCCTGTGCCAGATGTTCACGTTTAGTCGCTGAGTCATGGAAAGGTCTAGATGATTTGGGGGGGAGGGGCTGGGAGCCAGGGAGAAGCAGTCAGAAGCCCAGGGCAAAAATCATCAACCATTTGGAGTACTCTAATATTTCAACAACTAGGACAGATGATGGGTGAATACCATCTGGGTACCAGGATTCCCACATGCAGCAGAGACTTCTCCCCAGATTCCCTCTTTCCTTGGGCCTTGGCTCCATGTATTTTCAGCTCAGAGGTCTGGTTCCTTAGGGACCCTTGTGGAAGGGACACCTGCTGAGAGGGTCTATAGGATGGATCTTTCCAGGGCTGGGTAACCCCTTCCCATCTCTTTCCCACAGAGCTGCCCTGGGCTGAAGCCTCCCATCCCTAACCATGTTTGTGCAGAACAGAGCTCTGGCCTGAGGCAGATCTCAGACACAGATTCTAAGCCCAGGCAGGGAGACCCTAGAGACTGTGAGCTGAGCCCTGGTAGGAGGGAATGGGAGCTGAGGACAGGAGGGAAGGAGGAGCCAGGGGCTCCCCAAGGATTCAGGCACAGGAGCCTGGGCTGGAACCCTGGAGATTCCTCAGGTTCCTTCCTCTCAGCGTTCTGAGCCACACTTCTGGGGGTGCCCTGGTTCAGATGGGATGGATATAGTTTCAGCTAAAGCCTGTTTCGCTAGTGCCAAGGGATAGGAAGCAAGGGAACCCCTGCTGTCAGGCCAGTCCCCGGTCCTGAGTACTTGGTTCTTGGTTCTCTGCTTGCAGATTCCCCAGGCAGCCTGGCCATAGCTCCTGCAGCCCCAGGGGGTGGCCTTCTTGGCCCCTCCCACTCCTACTCCTCCTCCCCGCTGAGCCTCTTCCGTCTGCAGGAGCAGTTTCGCCAGCACATGGCGGCCACTAACAACCTGGTGCACTACTCATCGTTTGAAGTGGGGGGCCCAGCCCCTGCCGCTGCTGCCGCCGCCGCTGCTGCAGTGCCCTACCTGGGCGTCAACATGGCCCCGCTGGGCTCACTACACTGCCAGTCCTACTACCAGTCCCTGTCAGCAGCCGCTGCTGCCCACCAGGGTGTGTGGGGATCCCCACTGCTGCCTGCACCCCCAGCAGGCCTGGCACCTGCCTCGGCTGCCCTGAACAGTAAAACCACAAGTATCGAGAACCTGCGGCTCAGGGCCAAGCAGCACGCAGCCTCCCTGGGACTCGATACGCTGCCCAACTGACTGTCCGGCCTCCCACCCAGCCAGGGGTCTTGGGTGCCTCCTTCCCAGCCCCATGGTTATTCCCAGAAGGCTCTCTAGGAGTTAATTTTGGGAGCCCAGGAATCCTGGGGTCTGGAAGTCTCTCCCTGTCCCCTTCCTCAGAGCCCCAGGTGAAAACTACATCCCTCTGCATGGCCCTGCTTGGACCCCATGGAGGCCAAATGGGGAGGTGGTGAGAGGCTGGCTAGATCCCCTTCTCAGTATGGCCTCCTCCTTCCCTTCCCTCCCCTTCTGCCCCCTAGTCAGTTGATGTGTGGAATGTGAGATATAAATATAAATATATAAAGCTATATTTTCAGGCACTGCCTGCCCCAGGTCCCCTGTCCCCTCCTATCTCTTCTCCACTGCCACCCTTGCCTCCACCTACAGCTTCTGCACTCACTGCAGCCTTCCTCTTCTCTCCCTTCCTTGGAAGCTCCCTTGATCTCTGTCCCTGCCCCTCTGTCTTGCCCACTCTGGTCTCCCTCTCATGTCTGTCCCCCCTGGTGCTGGCTGTGTTGGTGTCCACAGTTCTCAAGCTGTGTCTTGTGGTCTTTTTAGTTTTAGTAATTCTGCTTCTTCCCATCTCTCTCGTCCTCTTCTCCCTCCTTACTTCTTCCCTGCCTGCCCCTGTCTCCTTCCCGGACTTGTACCCTCTCTAGGCAACAATTCCATTTCATGCCCAAATAGGCAACAAAGCCCTCATTGGAGACCCTGGAGTGGCGGGCAGGAGGTAGCCCTGGCCTCACAAACCTCCTCCCCAGGTCTGACATCTGGAAGGCTGCAAGAGCCATTTTCTCTTCTCAGTTTGGAGGTCCCACCCAGATCCAGGAGGGAGTGGAGGCAGGATGCAGGCTAGGTGGGCAGTAGAATAGACAGCATGCCTTCCTGTGCATCCTCCAAGGCCCGAGGCTGGGGTCAGTAATGGTCACCAGGTCTGACCAGGGCTCTGGAACCCTCTTTGGTAAGATTTTTCCTGATTGGAAGGAGGTGGTGGGGAGGAGTGCCTAAGAGAAAACAGGGCTGGTACTCCTCTCCCGCAGTCCCAAAGTGAATTTTCACATTCAGCAGTTTCTGGCTCTTCCCGGAGTACATCTGAGCCAGGAAGGTTGAACATGGGCTCCTGGTCACAGTGAAATGCAAACCACACAGCAGCACATAGTGTCAGGCTTCTGTTGACTGCCTGTTCCAGAGCCAACTATGAAAGTAATTCTGCCCGGCTAGTCACTGGCATGGTGAGGTATGTTCCTGTTTATGGCCAGGCCGCTCAGCTCAGCTGACTTCCTCTCACAGTAGCAGTGTGAGCTTGGCCAAGCCTGAAGCTTCTTTGGTACCATTTCCCTGTCTGAATTAGATGGCCCAGAAGATCCTGTCCAGCTCCAACATTCTGCATTCTGTGCTCACAACCTTGTTTGGCAGAAGTTCTTAGTTAAATTTAACATAACAACCACAATAACCACAGAAAAGCTCTCAGAAGGCACAGTGAATTAGAAAATTACTGTTGTCTTGTTGTGGAGCAATGAGTATAGTATACATAAACCTCTCTGTGAACACTGCCTCAGTTTCCCAGTAAGTGTAATGGGTCCCTTCTATTTCAGATGATCTGGATTTTTGTTGTTGTTGTTGTTCTTTTTAGATAGACATGGCAGTGGATGATCTAGATTTAATTCTGCTTTTCTTGAGTTCCAGTGCTAGCCTGTAGGGTCACCCCATTTCCATGCCCATGGTCAGGGAGAGGGGGATGGGTTAAACAGATTCCTTGTCATAATCCCAAACCCTGCTTAGAGAAGTTTGAAAGACTTGTCAAGTTCCAAGGCTTATCTCCCCTGCCTCCAGTGGGTGCCCTAGTAAGATTGGTTTGCAGAACAGTCAATGCCCATCATCTTTGGGAGGTCAGCCTGGAATGGGGCAGATGGAGAAGGCTTTGGACAGGAAAAAGTGAGAAGAGTGGTAGGTTGGGCCCAGAAAACCATTTGAACAAAACAGGAAAGGTGAAACTAAGTGGATCATATCACAGGAAGGCTTCATGAGAGGTGGGCCCAAGGGGACTGGAATCTGGGTTAAAGAGCCCCACCTCTGTGTGACAAGTATCAAGGTAGGCAAATTGAGGGATTCTGAGCAGGGGGTGTCTTGCTGGGATCTGGAATTTGGAAAGTGGATCCAAAGCCATGGGAGTATCAGAGGAGGACAGACCAAGCCAAGGAATGGGAGGTTGGCAAAGAAGAGTCAAGAGGAGGTTTTTGGTTTGGGAGGGTTTTTGGTTTGTGCCCATGGTCAGCTCCAGGAAGTTCTGTTTCTGAAATAAACACAGATCTCATCTGGACCAGGCATGGGGGCTGTTCTTGGGTACAACTGATGACATGTGCTTTGGAATCCAATAGCCTTAGACATCAAAACCCCCTTCCAGGAAGCTTCCCCTGACCTCATAAGGGGCAAGTCCACCTGGAGTCGTATTCTGACTCCAGGAGGTTGGGCCCGCCCTAGGCTCATCCCAGTTCTTTGTTAATACTTCTCTCATTCAGTTGACCCAAACCTACAAGCCCAGAAAAGTCAGGGAAGGTACAGGTGGGGTCTCAAGTCAGTTTAAGGCACCAGCCTCAAGTACTAAAAGCAGGTGGAGAGCAAGCAGAGGGTGTCCTGGCAGCTGGTAAACCTGTGTGTCCTCAAGGAGTCAGAGGGCACTAGCTTGGGTGGGCTCAACCCCTTAACACTGATGCTGGAGCCTCTCCCAGGCCTGTGGGGCCACCCTGAGGGGCGGGCGAGAGCCTGAGGCTCAATCCCTGACTGTCCCTTCTGGGAAAGCCTAATTCCTCTCTGCTCACTCCTATTTGTGGTCTCCCTTTTCCTGTTGCCTCACTCCCCCAGAGTGTGTTCCGGGGACGTGGGTCCCCACCTCAACTCTAAGGCTGGCAGACTATACGGACTGCTTTCCAAATCAGCTGTTTTGTGATCATTTGTGCTTAGAGGTTGTGCCAGCCCATGGCGAAAACACTGTGTGTACTGTATTTATTTATTCTGTTAGTTGAAGAAACAAGACTCAAACGATTCCCTTCCCCCTGCCCTGTCCCCTGAGTAGTGCAGCATGATGCTCTGTTCCGTGTATCTGTCTGTCTGTTGGTCTTACTTCCTGTGACATTGTGACCTGTTTTTTGTCCTACTTGGCTAATAAAAGAACCTGGCAGCACAGCTCTTGATCTATGTTCATTCCCAGAGTGGCTTGCAGAGGTACCAAGTGTTTTAAGTGGCCTCTCTACTACCAGTAAGGAGGGCAGCAGGCCTGCCTCCTGATGACTGACCACTCCCACGCTGGCCTTGCAGTTCTCGCCATGGCCCCTACCAATCTGCAGCTAGTGTGCCAGTCTGGAGGGGTCACAAGGGAGCAAGAACGGAGGAGAACTCTGTGTTCTCTGAGCTGCTTGCGCTTCACCCAAGCACAGGTGGCATGGTAGGCTGGGGCAGGGGATGCCTGGGAGGGAATATTCAGGGTATCCTAGGGGGAGGGAGAACTCTTCATCCCTTCTGCTGCATTTCAAGAGAAAGAAGACCAGAGATATCCACCCCTCAGCCCTCCTCTTCCCTGCCCCACTCCCTCCCCTGAGTTCTCCAGTGTTTGCACAAGTGCCCCCACTTCCTGCCCTGCTATCAGAATGGTGATGTATGCTGGGGCTGGTGGGGTTGAGGTCCCCTCTGAGGCTTTCCTGGTAGGAGAACCCCAGCCAGCCTGAGTAGTAGTCAAGGAGCAGTTACTGGACTTCCCAAGGGCGGGACCTGACCTCCCCACTTCCCAGGTCTCTGTGACTCCAGGAGAGCATTCCTCTCTCCCCAGTGGGGCTGAGGATTAGGGCTGGGAGCATCCCCCTTCACCTGCCTCCCCGCCTCCCTGGGAGGGGCTGATGGATCAAATGTCTGCCCCAAATCTCCCACTGCTTCCTCCCCCCTCTGCTCAGAGCCATCTCCTGCCTCCTACATACCTCAGCTTTGAGGGACACACCTTCCCTGGCATAGAGTGTACCCTGGTAACGTGGCTAGTAAAATCCCTCATTCACTTGTCATTGGCTGAGGACCTGCTGCATGCCTGGCCCTGTTCTGGGCACTGGGCATAAAAACAAGTTAGAAGAATCTGCCCTGACAATTGCAATACAGGGTGATTTAGGGTTCAAAAGCCAGGGAACTGTGGGAGCACAAATGAGGGTCCCTAGCTCAGCCTAGGAAGGGCAGGGAGATCTCTTGGGAAGGAGACTTTGACCGAGTCCTAGAGGGAAGGGTGTTCTGGGAGAGACTCATCATATCCAAACTACAAGACAGTCACTGGGTCCCTGGGCCCTGGAAGAGCAAGGAGACTGGTAGGGCAGGAGGACAGTGGGGGTGGTGTCAGCAAAAGAGGACAGAAGGGGAAGCTGGGAACTTAGACTCAAGCCCTGGGGCCAGGACCTGGGGGGCACTGGAAGCGATGACCAGACTTGCGTTTCAGTCACCCCACCCCTGACTTTGTTGCATGGTGGTTTGTGCAAAGGAGCTGGCAACAGTGAAACAGGGGAGAACACTCACATCCTGGTGAGGAAGGTGGCATCTTCTGGACTTGGTGGGGGGAAGGGATGGGGTCACACCGATGAGAGATTTAAGAGGCAAAATCACCATTGTGACTGAAGGATGGGAGGGGTCAAGGGTGCTCCCCCAATCTCTGGCTGAGCTACAAGGTAGATGGAGCCCTCTGCACTGTTGGGGCTGGGGTGAGTGTCTGGGAATGCCCCTGAGCTCAGGTGGTCCGTCTTGTTTGGTGCATTTGAGGAGTCTTCGATTTATTCCAGGGAAGATGTTGAGCCTCTGCGTGGTATTAACTTGACAAATACGTATGTAGCACTTTCTCTTTGCCTGTTACCTTATAAATAAGTCATTTAATCTTCATGCAACTCTGTGAGGTAGGCACTGTTATTATCTCCATTTAACAAATGGGGAAACCAAAAAAAAAAGGGAGGGGGGAACAGAGGAACAGAGTGGTTAAATAGCTTGGCTCAAACCACAAACTAGTAATGGGTCAACCAAAGTATGGGCCTGGCTAACCTTGGAAACCACGCTCTTGAACTTGGTGGTTGTCAATAGTGACATGGCAAAAAAATCCACTTTACTAGATGAGATCACACAGAGAGAAGCCTGAGGTCAGGACCTCCAGGAAATGCAGGCTGTGATGCAGAGCATTTTACTGAC